TACAGTGAGGCAAGGCATTCCGCCTAGCCTTTTTGTTTCGCCTCCACGTGCAATTGAGGCTTGCAAATACCAATCTCAAGTTCATCTTGGCGACCTAGTGGTCATTTTACAGTACACTTTCAGCTCAGCTGAAAATCGTTCCAGGCCCCGTTGGGATGAAAGCAAGTGGCTTTCTTCACCTTGGCGAAAAATCGCCTAGTTGGCCTCGATAACGCAGGCCTCAATAACCACCCCTGGTCGCCTTACTGTCGATAGTCTGTTTGCCGGCACTTGACAGTTCACGTGGCTTGCCTTTTTTCTCTCCGACGCGTCTGGAGCTGACTGGTCCAGTCGGTGGTCTGTCGGTTTCACCACCTGCCGGGGCTGATGATGGCGAAATATATATCTCGTGGTATTGGGTCCAGCCTGACGCGGGTAGCCTGACCGGCCAGCCTTCATAGGCATAATCCTTGCTGGACAAACGAGATGCTTGTCTTTTTTCTATTTGGCCGGATCAAACGTCAGTTTGTCTCCCTTTCGGCTGGCCGCTTTTGTACGACATGAGAAACAGGCAGGGAAACAAATTATACCCGGCTACTGCCCTCTTGTACGCCTCGACTTAGATTTGTTAGAGGCGCGATATTAACCCCTGATGCAGACTTGGCCTCTTTCACTGTCAGCTTCCGAGACGTCCAAATCATTTAGAGGCATGCCGAGTTTTACACATGACCGGCAGGGCTCCTTGTTTGCTAACCTACCCAGATCCTGAGTCCGAGGATCACGACCTGAAATGGACATCAAACGTGAGCATTCGGCCCTGATGGCGACATTCCTCTATACAGTTGAGACAACTTCAAGCCATCTTTGCCAGCGTGGCAAATGTATCGCCCTGAGCAAGCTCGCTCAGCAGCCATCCGCATGCCACGTCACAAACCAGGGACGACTTCAAACCGCCATCAAGCACAACTAATTTCCTTGTTCCTCTTGATATGTCAAGTTCAACCTGGGCCCGTTGGGCTGCGTTTGGAAGCATGCAGTATCTGCCAAACGATTAAGCGGCTGCGATGATGCTTCAATCTTTGAACAACACATGCAGTTCGCTAACACGTTGTGTTTGGTCAAGGACCATCAAAGCATGCGCCAAGTTCACTCCATGAAGCAGAATCTTAGAGTAGGCTGTCAACACCTGGCAAGGAAGTACGCGCAGGTCTTCACTGGATGGATATACTGATGCAAGTTGCTCCGTAATCTTCTCTACAGAAGGCGAATGACAGTTGCGGCTTAATCAGGGTACCGAAGCTGGTTTCTTGCTTGTCCGTCAAGCCTCTGAAAGAGAGCGTCCCGCAAACCACCATGCACAAGGCGCCATAACCGCAGTACTCAGTCCAGTCCATTATCTCGTTTGGTGTTAGAGCTGAACTTCAGCTTGACGTGCAGCGAGAGAGCGACATTCGACCTACCTGACCCCTTTGGTGCGTTGAAGTCCCGGTATCCCTAGGCATAATAGGCTCGAGTTGAGCTACCACTTCTCCGCAAGCAAACGGAGACTCTCGTTCTCGCGTCGAACCCAGAACCTTTGCTAGTTCATTGGCTACCTGGTCATTACAAACGCTCCAGTGATTGCCCACAACCCGGAGTCGGCCGTCTATACTGCGGTGTTCGGCGTAGTTGTGCAGACTCTGTCATATTTGACAGTGGAGATGACAAGAAACGGTCCACCCATCCAAGGGCATGCTATCGATCAAAAAGCCAGGGTCCCCCCGCAACTACAACAACATGCAGTACGATGAAAACCTTCAGATCATGGGCGCTTGGGTCTATGAATGACGGCCTAGGTTTCCTAGGTGTAGGTATTCGGGAATCTGTGGGGGAGGATCGGATCGGATCGGTTAGGTCATCTCGAGTCGCTTATATCCTGGACAAGCGATGCTAGGTAGGAGATGGCGGGATCAGATGAACTAGGTGCTGGACTTGATTCTTTGTGAAGTGGAGAATCGGAAGAGTTGGTCATTCAGTAATTGCAGCCTGACCATCTGGTACACCATGCCATTCATATACAACTTCTGTGTAGCTCAACTGTTATGGTCAGTCAAATACACTATCATACAATGCAAATATCAAGGAAAACGCATGCTATGCCAATAAAATCCTAGCCCCATCCTCAAGCTCCATCACATCATCTGCCCTCATAGCCTTGCCACCCCAAATAACAGTCCCAGTCCCATCGATAGCAAAAGCGCCAGCCTCTTGCCATTTATTACCCATAACCGTCAAGGGCCCATCCTCGTCTTCATCGTCGTCATCCAATGCGGCGACCTTCTTCGGGACCTTCTTCTCCTCGACGCCCTTCCTCTGTATGGCCCCGGCCACCTTTTCTCCTAGCCACCCCGTCTCCTTCCAGCCCTGGACCTGGGTGGTAGGGTTGAAGAGATACCACATGCCGCCGGTTCCCAGTCCCCAGGCTGCGTACAGGGCTCTCTCCTCGTCGATGACGACGCGGACGCCCCAGGCGCCGCCGAGGAGGGATACCCACTTCTGGGTGGCCTGCTCTGAGGCATGCGAGACTGCGATGCAGGTGAGGGCGTCACCGTAGCGGTTCGACAGAGTACGCAGGTTGATGAATGTCTTTTGTGCGACTTTTTTTAAAAGTCAGCTGATGAATTATATGAACTCGTGAGTTAAATGAAAAGAATGTCGTGCAGAAACAGAAAAAGTAAAGACGTGGGGAATAGGGAGATTTGACAAACATACACGCGCAGCCAACGCAGCGCAGAAAGACGAGCAACGTCCTCCTCCTGCCGCCTAGCACGATTCTCCTCTCCCTGTCAACAGGCGCCTTATCCCCGATGCCCGGCACGCGACCTACGGCCACGGACGGGGGCGGAGGGTTCAGCCAAGGCTGTACAGTGAGCGGCAGAGAACGGATCGACATCCAGGATCCCCAGCTCTGAGGGGGCTCATCATCCTGGTTTGACTTCTTCTGTGGCTGCTGTTGAAAGTCAAGGATGTCCTTGGGGATGCCGGCCTTTTTAAGGGCCAGCTTTGTTGTGAAGCTGGAAAGCATTGGATCGATCGGCTGAGAGAGTAAGAAAAGAGGACAGAGTGATACAAGGACAGGGGGTAAGAGATACAAGGGGGTGGGTGTTGAACAAGTCAGCTTGCAGTTGCGGCTCGGGCCGAGGATGACAAGGGTCAGAGTAAAGCGGCAATTGATGAAGAGAAAAGAAAGACAAGAGAGAGAGATTATAATCAGATCACATTATGGCCCTGGTGTTGAAGACGTGGAGTTGAGGCTGTTCTGTTGTGAAACTTCCGGGGGCCGCTAGTGTGGAATGGGGGCTTGCGCACGAGCCTGGGCATGGCTTTGCAGTTGATGGTTTAATATGAGGATGAGAGTTTTTACGAGCAATGGAGGGGAAAGCTATTGAAGAAAAAGATATGCTGAGATGGAATAAAGTTGTTTTAAGATAGGTAGTCAGGACGTATGCAAAAAGTGGCCATGTCGCCAAGTCTCAAGGTTCTTGGTATGCCATGATCTAACACAATACTACCTCTACCTAGGCGAAAGATGCCATCGTATAAGGGCCCAGCAACGATAACAATAAACTGACCTTGTCTAGTTCACCTGCTCAGAATTTCCCCTAGTTGAGCATTTCACTCGTCTGACCATTCGATCCCGCTCCCGTCAGACAACAGCCAGCGCTCGCATACCACAAATGCCCACCATCCGTGACAGACCTGTACTTGCTCGAGTGGACCTTGATGAAGCTTGAACATTGACACACGCCGACCGCGAAGCGCATTATTCAGGGCGACCAAATCTTGAGCGGCATGCTCTCCCAAGAGACGAGTTAAACACAACGTCCCAGCTTTGTCTGTCCGACCTAATATTGGTGGCTGTCCAAGTGGACGAGCATGAGTCTTGCTCTGCTGGAGACAGCCATGCGTTCGTCCGTAATAACAGCCGATAGAAAGTCTTCCACGAACAGTCTCGAGCTAGAGAATACTCCTACACATAGACCAGACTTGTTAGGAGCGTGGGGGTGCAAGACGTTGAAGAGATTTGGGACAGTTGAAGCTGCCGGGTAGGATCTAGGCAGGTATATGTAAGTTGAACCCACGAATCCCATTGAGCTGGATGGTAACGCCTCAAAGAAACAGCATATCCCATAGAAGAAATTCGGGTCCAATGTTATATGCCAAGTCATGGGGAATAAAAGAACCCCAGGGATTATCCAAATCCCAGCTCGGGGCTAATATGGCTTCTTCAGCAAACGTCTCACTTATCGCGTTGACGTACCCGTCGCTAATGTCGATTGAGTGTAGATGGAAGAGAGTTTTACCCCAAGAGGTTGGTTCGCCGTTAGCACCAGCAGTCATTGCCTCGCCGTGTTTAATATCGAAACTGCAGTCAACGCGACGACCAGAGAGTGGGTATTGGGAAGGCCGACATTGGGATTTTGGAGGATGAGGCTAACCTGAAAAGGGCACCCAAGAGTCCAAAGGGGTTCCGCTCAATGTCGCACAAGTCTCGAGTCTTTGGGCATGACGACACGGGTACCTGGATAGCTTCAGCAATGACACACAAGACGACAGAGAACCTGATTGACCTCATCTCGAAGTGGTGTGCTAAGCGGCCAACCGGGTACTCGCACGGGACAGACGGGTTCGGCCTTTCAAGGTGCCAACTAAAGGACGCGGCTAGCTATGATGACAGAGAGTGGCTGGGCTGTTTATTAGGTGAAGGCGCGGTTGGTCGACCAAGCATAAGTCGCAACTGACCATAACTCAAGGCTTGTTTGCAGGTCACCGGCAGCTGCTCGAACAAAGGACGAGTGAGTCCGGACGCAATTTCTTTGTCTCTGAGGTGTGCTGAAGACCCTCTTTTACCATGGTCGAGACGCAAAAAAAGAAGATGTCAGGTAGTTATGTAGTGCCAGCCGAAATCGCATCAAGAAGCAATCCCCAGCAAAAAATGAACAAACCAACAAAAAAGAAATCTCAATCATTTTTATAGGAATAGCCCGATGCGGGGGTCGAACCCGCAACCTTGAGATGTGTGTACTCGTAAGAGTCTCACGCTCTACCGATTGAGCTAACCGGGCGGGACGCCTTATTGGTGAGAACTGAGGGTCTCACGATCGTCTTGTGAGGGGGGCAGGGATGCACCCGCTGGTGTTGAGAGATATCTGGACTGGGCATTCATGAGTATCTAGTTCTCTCGGCCTGTGCATCTTGTGATTTCAACTCCATCCTGTACGTGTTAGTGATAGATTGTGTATAGCGGGATGGTTTACTCACCGGGACACCTGTCGGTTCAAAACTGTTGATCAACCGACTCTCGTACACCAAGTTCGGATCCCCTTCTGCCTCATCCAACTTCTCCTCCCCCTCCCTCTTCTCATACTGCTTAGCAATATTATCCGAGAAACCACCTGCACTCTTCGCTCCCGCCCTCTTCTCCTCCACGCTACTCCTCACGTAGGCCAAGTACGGCGGATTTCCCGGCTTAATGACATTGTCAGCCGCAAGGACGGTGCCCGGTCCTACGAGACGGAGACGCTCGCAGAGCTTGAGGTCGCTGAGGTAGGCGGGCTTGTAGTGGTCCAGAAACATGAGGTCGATCTTGGTGAGGGTGCCGTCTGCGTGTAGACGTGAGAGGGACTTGTCGCTAGGACCGACGATTACGCTCGCAACGGAGCGTAGGCCCGCGAGGTCGATGAGGGAAGTGATGACGGCTGCAAACTCGGGGTTTCGCTCAAGAGAATAGTAATGTGAACCACCAGAAGAACGCACGGCGTCGGCAAAGAGGAGAGTCGAGTAACCCACGTAGCCACCAAGTTCAACCTATAGATGCACGTTTAGATGCCTTCAGGTAAGATCTGCTGCCATGTCTCAGCTTACCATGACCTTTGGCTTCACCTCAGCAATCAGGTCCGTGACAATCTTGCCCTTGTCCTCGCCAACGTTCATGAGATACTTCTTTGTACGAGCAAACTCATCGACAGCCTGCAGAATGCGCTTCGGTGAACCACGCAGCTCGTCAATGTCGTCTCGACCATAGACATAGTGAAGAAGCTCAATCTCTCGACCATCGTCAAAAAAGACGGTCTCTTCCTGCTCAACATACGCTTTGGACTCGTCAAACTGAGGCATCGTTTCTTTGTGAAAGGATCAATCGTTGCACCGTGAATGTGTTTGTGACGTTCCGAATAGCCCTTTTATCCTTGTAGTAACACAAGAAACAGATCGCGTCACTCAGTGTACCCGTCATTCATTCATTCATTCCCGTCCTTTTTATATCCTTCTCTCCCTCGACTCCCCCCCCTTCTCCACACACGGGATCCCCATTCCGGGGAGCGGCTTTCTCCCCGGCGGGCGGCCACGGCATCGGGTGGGGGGGTTGTGGGTGCCGAAGGGAGGAGAAGGGAGAAGGGAGACGGGAGACGACAGACGACAGACGGGAGCATCCGATGACGCGCACATGCCCGAGTCGTCCAAGTCTGGCGTCATGGGTGTGTGACTTGAGTTAGACAAAGACAATCTACCCTTGAATTGTCTCTTGGTGGTTACTTGTCTTGGAATAGAAAGGACCCTTGAGCATATCCATAACTGTACTGTCAGATCATATCATATCATCCATATCAGTCACGTTCGCAACAAGTCTTATTAACTCCCGAACCATTCCCATGGATAAATGTATGCCCCTAACAATTACTGTCTCCCCAAATGTTTGTCTCCCTTTCCAAAATGTCGTCGCAAAACCAGCAAACAATTTCTCCATTCCCTGGCCAAGCAACCAACCCTTGTAGAACCGATCTCCGTATACCCCAACCCTGCACCGAACGAACCTGCCCAAAAGCACGCAAACGAGAGACGCGAAGGAAAATGAACACCGAAACAGTCCTGACCCTATATCCACCCTGAAACCCCAAGAAATGCCCTTGTTTTATCTCCTTTTTTTGTGTCGTTTTTGGGAGTTGTGTTTTTTGTCGTATATAAACAAACACCTGCGTTTTCGCTTGCCGAGTAAAGGATTGGTGATCCGTATAAAATCCCTTTCGTCCCAGAACCTTTGTGTGTGTTGGCGCCGACAAATCAAATACCTCCCATCGTCAAGGAAACTCCGAGACCGTCACTCCGGCTATGCTTGCTTGCACTCGCCGCAGACGATTCGCAGACTTGTCGTTGGTCGATAAACAGCGTAAACGCCTCAAGCTCCGCTCCCTTGGGTATCCGTCGTTGCCGTCGGGACGCTGAGCCGTCCCGCCACAATCATGATGAGCGCCCCAGGCCATAGCCTTCCCAAAGAACTTCGTCCAAACATATTTTCGAAAGTGTCCCTTCCTGCCCGATCCATCCATACTAGACACACACCTCTTTTCCTTGCCCATCCGCTGTTGAACGCAAAGTCGACATCCCTAAACAACGGACGCCCCATTGTGATGATCAAATGCAACTCCCATTTCACCAGTCCAAGCCCTTCAGCCGAAAAAAGAAACAAATGACAACTCCTCTGTCGATGCCGTTCCTTCAACACCTGTGACCTCAATGGAACCACCCAGCTCTAGCCAGATCCGAGTAGTCTTGCGTGTTTGCCGTTCCCCATTCATTGCCAGAGTGCCCCCAACATGAAAATCAGGAGCCGTAAAAGAGCTGCAGGGACGCCGTCCCTGTCACAACTCAAATGTACCAACCTCGATGCATCTTTTACCTCAAGCGCCATTCCCTATGCAACTGTCAACGCCCATGCCTACCAACACGCCCGAAACCATCCCTTGGATCCTAACCCCAGACGCTGGCCGGGGCACCGAGGCCAGAAGACTGCCCCCAGACGCCGTTGCCACGACCCCAGCCGCCAGGGGAAGCGAGGGGGGTGGTCGACCGCTTGGAGGAAGCTGTGGTCGCGGGTGTGCCCGAGGGACGGGTGCCGATAGGAGCAACAGAGGCTCCAGACTGGCTGGGCTTAGATCCAGGGGCGAGATCACGCGAGGGGGATCCGCCGGTTGGGCTGGATGTGCTGGTTCGGCTCTGGGGTCCAACCGCGTTGTCAAAGACTCGGTTCGTGGGTCCAGAGGTCTGGGGGCTGGCTGTGCTCTGGGGGCGAGAGGCCGGCTCGGCAGGAGGGCCGTGGGCGTCGCCAGTAGAGCCTGGGGTACCGACATCAGCAGGAGGGGCGCGGCCGATGTTGTCAAAGGCTAGGGGTGAGTGCCCGCGGATGCTGGAGGGTCCGCTAGCGCCAGGGGCGCCAGGGCGGACGTTGCCAGTCTCGTCAACATATCCTGCCTTTTCAGCGAACGGTCCCTCGCCATACAAGGCACTGCGCTGACGGGCGATCAAGTCCCGAGTCTCCTCCTCAGACATGTGCTTGTTGCCCGGGAGGGTCAACTCGGAAAGGACGGCTACGTAGAAAAGCTGTTAGCCCAAGCTCAACAAACTCGACGCGGATTACATGTATGTGTTCGGGAGAAGCGAGTGAAGAAGAAAGAAAACATGAGCGGCGTCCGGCCATCAACAATCATCGGCCGCCCATGACCACAATTTTTTCTATTTGGCATCTTCTTTTGGTTTTGCGATAGTAGGAATGTGCTATACAGTAGAGGGTGGCCTACTTCGCTGGTATTGCTGCTCAGTGTGCAGGTTTCGAAGCTCTCGCTCCCGCTGAGCTGCCATCCTTCTCTTTGCCTGCATGACCTGCTCTGCCTCGTTTGAGCCTCGCGAGGGCTGGTGACGCTGGTTGGCGTAAAAGTTCTGGAGGTTGGGCCCCTGAGAACCTCGGGCATCGTCAAAGTTGTTAACCGAATGAGGGCGAGAGCCAGAGGAGTGGTGGGAGGCGCGCGAGTCTATATCGGAGGATGGTCAGTTGGGGCGCTCACGGCGCCCTGCCAGTCCCAGCCTACTCACCCAGGTCTTGGGAAGATACTGGCAGGGCTAAAACGGTGTAGATCAGAAAACTCACGTCGGCCGCCCATTCCATAACCCTTGCCAGACTTTTGCAAGTTTTCGTAAGCTCGATCGACCTCTAGGAGGGGAATTAGTTCCTGTGCGAGACGTTCAACTCGTCAAGTCCGGGTTCTCTCCAATTTCTGATTCGGGTCGGACCACCCGACGACAAAGCGGTAGCCACGAAGAGGCCAGCAGAAACCGGAGGGAACAAGACCGACGTTGTTGATGGAGAACATACCGTCGAACTGATACGAAAAGGCGTAGTCGTCCTGGGGCTGAGGTCCACTGGCGCCTGAGCGGATGAGCGAGTTAATGGGCATCCTGGGATCGGAAGGCGTTCGCATTCCATCCGTACCTGCACGAACAGGAGTGGTTGAGCCTTGGTGCTCCCAGTTGTTCTGGGCCGAAGCAGACCACTGCGGGTTGTCGTAGTAGGACATGTTGTAGAATTTCGGATTCGAGTGGGAAAAACCGGGACGGTGTCGGTTCAAAGAATTCTCAAATCTCGCAACGAAAGGGTCTAGCGACAACAATGACGGGTTAGCCCGATGAAATTGACAAATAGATAGACGACAGATTGCGATGACCAGGTGCAGCGCGAAGCAACGAGGGCGCAGGGACACAAGACAATGAGGGACAGTGGTGGTGGAAAATTGCCGCCGTGGCCGACGTCAGGATGCGATGCATCAGCCATCTGAGACAGGCTCCATCAAGAACCACCAAGCCCTCAGGACCCCCTCGTCGCAACACGTTGACAAACCACCCGCGGTACTGTGCGTCAAATCATCGACTCACCCTATGCGGCAGGATATTTCGTCGTCGAGTGGTGCAGCTTCGTTCGCGGGAAGAGAGCGCAGGGGTGAATGGCCACGGGCCGCGCGAGTCGGGAATAAACCACGAAAGATTTCGGGGAGGCGGAAAAGGCACGAAGCTTGGTCGCAGAAACTGGTGACAAGACGACGGACCAGGAAGACTCGAGGCGAAAACCGCTGCAGAGCAGACGGAAAGTCTAATAGAGAAAAAGAGGGAGACGGAGGCGGAGAGGAGGAAGAGGGAAAAAGAAAGAAGAGGCCGAAGATGGTGGTGAACAAGTTGTCAACGGACAAGGCGTGATGGGGGGAGGAAAAACCCAGGGCCTGGTGCTGGGCTGGGCTGGTCT